ACACACACACACACACACACACACACACACACACACACACACACACACACACACACACACACAAACGATAAATAAATAAAGGAATATTGCTGGATTAGTACCAGGAAGAGACCAAAAATAACAACAACAAAAAAGCAATAAAAAATCAAATAAAAGTTAAAAATCGGCTTTGGTGGGTCAATAAAGTTACTTTCCAGCTGTGCAAAATGAATGCATATATTAATACTTATATACGTCTGAAAAATGCCTCAAAAAGTAGTAACGTTTGATTGAATATTTTGATTGATTTGGGTAGGTTTATGTAGGCTACCTGATTTTCCATCATAAGTGTTCAGTTGACCTACTTCAGATGTTCCATCAAGGGGAAAAAAAGATGCCGTTCAGTATAGACCATTCCTGAAAGAGAGAAATCGGCCATCCATTTTCACCTTCTTTCACATCACAGAGTCCCCAGACTCTGACCCTGGACTGTGTTGTAATTATGGGCTGCTTTTTTCCCCAAGCACTTTTCTAAAGATGTGAAGAAAAGCTATTTTGGGAGAGAATAAAAAGAATGGTTTGGAAAAAAACTGCTCTGATTCAGTACATTCAAACTAGAATGTGGCACACGGACAAAGAAAGAAAACAGAGAGAGAAAGACCAGAGAAAGAAGCAATTTACAGTACAAAAGAAAGACACAAAGTTGTATCGTGTACGAAGTTGATGTGAATAAACCTGACTGTCATTCTTCATCCGACCAGCAGGTGCCAGTGTCCGCATTCTCACCTGTGGTATTTTAGTTTTTATTAATATCTTGAATTTGTTTTTATTTTTATATTTTGTTTTCATTTTTATTTCAGTAATTTATTGTGTGCTTTTGTCATTTTTTAAAAATATGTCTATATATAGTTTTTCATTTTTATTTCAGTTTTTTAGTTTGTTATACTAGTACATAAAGTTAAACTAAATGAATATGTCGATATAATGAAAATCGTAGAATTTAGTGCTGTGTGTGTGTTTATGTGTACGTAACCATATGCCTACACACTAAATACTCTGCACACCCTCACAACCATACACATCATGGTTTTTTTTTAACTGAGCAAGCCCCACTCATTTTGTTTTTCCATGTGTGCACATTTCACAATAGCATTTTTTCCAGTAAACATTATAACACCATATATTTATGGCACGCCATGTAAAAACTGCATATTATCAATGCTGTAAATGGAAATCTGTAGACAGCAGTGAGGATCTGGTTAATCTGTTCTGACACCTTACAGCACCTTCAATGTCAAAAGTTCAATCAGAATCCACATCAATGAGGTGAGATCATTCAGCATCAGCAGAGGAAAGACGCAGGCTGTCAGGTCATGAAACAGACAGCCTACGCATTTCAGTTCTTTAAACGTAGCACTTGTCACAGCATCGAGAACTGCACTGCTGACAGACTCACGGGCTTTTTTGAGAGAAGAACAAGCTATAAATCATGGTGAGTTGTACTTGTTGCCAATCAGGGAAATGAAGGAATAACTGGAAGTTAAAAACAAAATAGATTATTCAAGTAGCAGTCAAGCTTCTTTGATTAACATGACAACTTATGGTATTTAAGGCAATGAGTTTAAATGCAAGGGATTACGGAAGAGTTTACAGAAGTCATGCTGATTCACTGTAACCTCTAGCATTTTTGTTAATAACATATAATTCATATTCATGGTCATTTCAATGACAAATATATTTATATAGCACCTTTAGAAACAAATGTAAAATTAATGAAGTATTTTACAACAATAAAAATGAGCTAAATACATTAATAATAAAATAAAATCATAGTAAACAGAAAGAGTAAATGCTAAAATCATAGCAAATTCTCTACAAAGGTAATATTTGTAATTATACTGCCTGCAACAGGAATATACTGGCACTTTTTATTATTATAAATGTGAGAGCATTAAAAACTGTACGTTTTACATGTTATGATTTTGTATTTAGAGCTTTAAAGCATGTATCTAAACTGCATATAAAAATATTTTGTCATATTTGATGTATTTTATTTAATCAACTTCTTATTCCTTACAAACCTATTGTTTGTTAAAGCATTGCGTGTAACCTCAAAATGCTACACTTCCTGTTCTCATCTACGTATTTAAAGTTACATGACTGATTTCAAACCACAGTGTGGTTTTTTTTTTTTTTTTACAGCAAGCTGCATGTTAAACTATGCTTATCTGCACGTACACTCTCTATAATCTGCATACAGTACAGTGGCCAAGTAAGTATTTATAAACTTAAAGGGGTCATACGATGTTGCTAAAAAAACATTGTTTTGTGTATTTGGTGTAATGAAATGTGTTTATCATTAAGTTTCAAAAAACACATTCTTTTCCACACACTGTACATTATTGTTTCTCCTCTATGCCCCACCTTATTTGGGCGGCGTTATGCAAATATTCCCACATCGTGATGTAGATATGTGGAGGCTTGTTAGAATGAGCCGTTTTAGGTAGGCGTGGCTGACTCTTAACTTTTATAAAGAATATCTCTTTGGATTTGAGACTTTAGTCTTTGCAACTTTACAGATCTTCTTTATGCACCAAGGGCTTGTAACACTCCAAAGAGAAAGGAAAAATTGAAATCGCATCATATGACCCCTTTAAGCTACATTTAAAAATGTGTCAATATCATTGCATTAGATAAAATATAAAACCATGTGGTATCTATTCTACACAAAGCACATTTTCCAAGGTAAATAACTGACAAAAAAAGTAGTATGTTCTTTAAATGATAAAATAATAGATAGATAATACACTTCCTGGTTGTGAAAGGTCAGTGGAACTTGCTCATGATGAAACACAAACCACTTCTAACTTCATGAGAACTGACTTCATACAGCCACCAAAAACCACCACAACTAAAAGATAATGAACAAATTAATTCTGAGAAAAGCTGCTGCAGCATTTGCCTGACACTTGGTTTGATATTTTGTTATCTAATTCAAAAAGGAGCAAAACTAACTCCGAAAAGTGAAGTTAGTGTAGAAAAACAGGCTATCCTGCAGCATCTGAGCTCATGCATTTGAATATTTTGCATGTAATGATGACATTCAGATATTTTAAGAGCAGTTTGGGTGCCCAAACCTCATTGTGACGTCTTCAAAATTGTGAAACCTCTGCAAGCAACTTTCTCACTTAACTGACCACTAACCCTTTGTGCACTATCATTGGCTCTCGTCTAGGTTGAATATAACTGCAGGCCAATGTTGAACCACACAGACAAAGTGCTCAGTTACTTTGAACGTGTGGCCTACACACCTGTCTTCATAGTGGGCCTTTTCTTCAACGTCACGGCTCTGTGTATCTTCTGCCGCCTCAAGCGCTGGACAGACACGCACATCTACATGTTCAATCTACTGGTGGCCGATTTCCTAGCCATTATTTTCCTACCTTTCAGGATACTGGAAGCCTTTTGCCCCATTAAGCCCAGCGAACTGTGTACATTCTTACTGTGCACCCAATACTCCAACATGTACAGCAGCATCTTCACCATTACAGCCATCAGCATTCACCGATTTATAGCCGTCAGGTTTCCATTTCTGACCAAAGCACTGGCCTCCAAAAGTAAGATGATCGCCACTTCAACGTGCATCTTCATCTGGACGATCATAGTGGTCATCTGTGCTTGTAACTATGAAGACCTTAACCCAGACAAATTACAGAACTGCTATGACCGGAAACTGACAAAAAAGCTCAAACAACACTTTTTCTTGCTTTTACAGATTTTAGGTTATCTTATTCCAGTGCTCATCGTCATACTTTGCTCCACACAAGCCATCTATATCCTGATCAGATCCCTTAAGCATGTCCAAGGCAGGGAAAAAGTGGAAAGGAAAAACATTGCAGCTATCATCAACGCGAACATGTTCACATTCATAGTTTGCTTTACACCCGTTCATATTGGTCTTTTGTTGCAATATGTAGTATCAGATGATTCAGGTAAAGACTTTGTGCACGTGTTTCTTGATGTGGCCGAGTGGATAGCTACTACCAACTGCTGTCTGGATTCGATTGGCTATTACTTTCTGCTGAAAAGAGTTAATAAAAGGGACAATCGTTCATACTGAATGTAAAAAGTCAGCTAAATTGATCTAGATTAGATTGAGGCAGATCCCCGTCATATGGGAGGAACACAGTATAACAAAGCTTGGTCTACAACTGACAACATTGGTGTTATCATGGTTACAAGATTTGATGGAAATACCATAATATTCTTTAAAGTACAATTTAAATACTTTGTTGCACGAATAAGATAATCGCATAAGTATGCTACTATGGCACCACCAGAGTGTGTTCCTGCTTTGACTGTTACTTTCAGAAAAAATATATTTATTTTTTGTATGCAATTTTTTGTTGTAATACATTTTTTTCATGAAGAAGTAACATGCCTATATGAAGGAATTCAATAATACTGATTAAATAAAATAATTATATTATATTATATTATATAAAGCTTAACTGATTTTATCCAGTGACTTTGATCACATGCAATTTTTATCTGAGCAACATTATATAGTAATAGTAGCTAATAAATCATATAATTTAAATTATAATATACATTTTTTATATATATATATTTATACATTGTATTATTTTATGTTTATGTAATCAGATTCCAAAAATTAAGTACTTGTAATAATATTAAATTATTTTAAATACTCGTAACCAGACTACAGTTACTTATTTATTGAATGCATGATTAATTATTATTCACACAATAGCAATAAATTATTCAGTTTTCATCTTTTTCATCTTTTAAATGTTCCTTTCTAAAATAACCTACTGCTTCTATGCGTTCAGAAAGTCTTCCAATTTTGTGGACATTCACATTATTTCTTATTTTTATGCAATGCAGGCATTCCCAAACTTTTTTTGGTCATCTGCACTTGTTTTCACCTAATATATTTACTTGAAGTACCCTGAGATTTTAAAATAAATATCTGAATAATTATGACATTTGCATGTTCACGGTTCTCTGTTGGTTACTGGTCACACTACAGTACGTAATATATTTACTTGAAGTACCCTGAGATTTTAAAATAAATATTTGAATAATTATCACATTTGCATGTTCACGGTTCTCTGTTGGTTACTGGTCACACTACAGTACATGCCGGTAAACAAATCATTTTTTGTAAGTGTTTTATTTTGATTGATGCTATTCTAAAATGTTAGAATACATTTTTAATTTTCAATTTTTATGATTTAATGAATTATTATCTTTTCATTAAACTCATGAAGCCCCTGCAGTTAATTTACAAACCCCCAGTCTGGGAAACCTTGAAGTAACATAATGTTAAATGCACTTCATGTTATTAATTACAACGAAAGGAATATATTTTCTTACTCTTTGTATTTTTTATATCAGTATGGTATGAGATTATCCTATTTAAATCAATGTGATAAAGAAGTTAGGTTAAAAAATAATCAAAAAGTAGTCTGATTACATTACCTAAAATGTGTAATGTAATGGATTACATTACTAACTACAATTGTTGTCAGAGCAGTTTGCACTGTTTGTCATGTAAGGTTAAACTGCCCTCTAGTGGTCATTCAGTGTATTTGTCACATGCGTTGTCTCTGCAGTCTCGTGCACACCCAGTAGACAGCAAAAGCATTTGGCACGTGGCAGTATGTATAGGGATTATATGATCACATGAACTGAAAATTGCCAGTGTTAAATACCTCATCAGGTCTAGGGAGTACTAAGACATCATCCATATTATTAGTAATACGTTTTTCCCCCGTCATGTTACCATACAATGTAGGCCTAACGTTGTATTTCTTTTTGTTTATACAGTATCATAGTAAAACCATAATTGTTGTCAGAGCAGTTTGCACTGTTTGTCATGTAAGGTTAAACTGCCCTCTAGTGGTCATTCAGTGTATTTGTCACATGCGTTGTCTCTGCAGTCTCGTGCACACCCAGTAGACAGCAAAAGCATTTGGCACGTGGCAGTATGTATAGGGATTATATGATCACATGAACTGAAAATTGCCAGTGTTAAATACCTCATCAGGTCTAGGGAGTACTAAGACATCATCCATATTATTAGTAATACGTTTTTTCCCCCGTCATGTTACCATACAATGTAGGCCTAACGTTGTATTTCTTGTTGTTTATACAGTATCATAGTAAAACCATAGTATGAAGAACCTTTATCAAAGTATAAATCAAAGTACTTTTGTATTACTACTATCTGATAGCATCTCTGCAGGTTTTGCGACCGAGATAGACAGTCATAGTGAGAGAAAATGTTGCACTATTTTGATGTTCTTCTCATTTTATCATAATTGCGGCATTTAAAAAAAAAGATGGATAATTAGAAAAAAAGAAAGAAAACTACACATCAGGTCGTACACGCAATGTAACGTTTCTGGTACAAACTATTACACCTTTGACTTATTTTTAGTTTTAAAAGCCATTAAGAAGCAAAGGACATGAATGAGTCGAATTAAACTGCATTGATGCTAAGTGCCTGATGTAATTGATATGTTGATGTGTCTAATTAACTTCCAAGTAATGATCCTTCAAAACAACATCACTCTAGTCTTCAGATTTCACAGAAGTTGTCATGGTGACATGGTTCTCCATAGCAACACAGAGATGCTGTGTGAAATTTCAATGTACATGCGTTCAGTGAAACGCCATCTACTGGACGGTGCCGTGCAAATGAAGGAAACAACAACCTTTCCACTTGATGAACATGCATAGAAAATATTAGTTGGATATATGCTCTAGTCATACTCATTCTAACGTTTTAATAACAACGACTAACAAACAGTTAAAGGTAGCCATTGAAGGACTAAGAGAGTTTACAGTAGGCCAAAATGTCAAAAATTCATTTGTATATATTTTTAACTATCTTTGATACCAAATGTGATAGTTTTATCAGCAGAATGGAATAAGACAAACAAACTAAAACCACAAAGCATCACTGAATGCAGTCAAATACATGGCTAATACTTACTAGTGTTTGTGCTGTTGTTTTCCCTCCAAAATGATGTCACTTCCTGGAGGATGAAGCCATTGAGGAACTGGCTTTTGTTAAAGGGTTTGTACAAAAGACTAACAGGATGGAAAGTGATAACATGGAATATCCTAATAATCCTAAAAATTGTATACCAGTTAAAACAATATCTCAAGAAAACATGTTTTGTCTAAAAAATAATTGCATATTACTGAATAATTGGTCTGTTTTGATTTAGAAATACATTGAGACGAGATAAAAATGGCAACATCTGCTTAGACCAAAGTAGTCAAATTATTTAAAATTTGTTCCAATGTTTAATTAATGGTGCATGTATAAAAGAATCACAAAATGTTAGTATGCAATATTTCGGAGTGCAATAATTTTCAGTGTTTTGATTTAGAAATGCATCGAGACGTGACAAAAATCTGCCCAGACTAGTGAAATTATTTAATTTCTGCTCCTATGTTCAGTTAATTCTGATGTAGTGAAAAATGTAATTGAACTAATATGATTTCCATCTTTTAAAATGGTCAATTAAATATTTTATTTAAATTGAGACATATATAATGAGTACAATGACATTTTTTTGCATGGCTTAAAGTGATGTACTACTTTGATTAAACAATTATTAATATAGGCTCTTATTTGATTAAAATGTTATTTTTAAAAGATAATTCATTACATGCTAACTTTCTGCTGGTAGAAACAGTCTCTGATGTAAGGTTAAGGTTAATAGTTGACCTATATGTATATAGCATAGTGACTTACGGTAGCTACAGTAGTAAAAGTCTGTTTTATAATTAACGATATAATATCTTGGGCAACTGGCACCTATTTAACTCTTTATAGTGAACCTTTCTGCAAAATGGTAGCATACTCAGAAAAAAGGTACAAAAGCGGTCACTGGGTTTGTACCTTTAAAAAAGTACTAGTTTGTACAATTTAGGTATTATTATGTATATTAATAAGGTACTAAATTGCACCCTTTAAGGGAAAATAAGGTACAAAAACACGTACTGCCCCAGTGACAGCTTTTGTACATTTTTTACTTAAAAAAAGACAAAGGTCAAACAATCAAATGTGTTTATTAGAATGATAAAATCTCCATGTTGATTTACGTCTGAAAATAAGTGTGTGCTCCAGTACTGAATCGTGTGTGTTCATGTGTGAAACTGGGTGTATATGTGTGTATTTCTATACATGTGAGATTATTTAAAAACCAACAAACGAACAAAACAATTTTCACTGGATACCACCCCTGGACTTCTATACACAGGGACATTACATCATCGCCAGCGGAGGGGTGGAAATCAGGATTTGAGCTATGTACAGAGCAGCTGAGTCTACATAAACAGCTCAACATAACACTGATTCAGTCTTACACACAGCCCTTCACGCCGAAGGCAAATCTGTGTCGCCATATACACTTTCGTACAAAATGCCAGATATCAAGAGATCCAAGAATCCCGCTTCAACATTTGCAAAGTCTGTAACAACCAATAAATGTGATAATATGTGGAACAAAAAAGCAATGAAACATCGTGGAAAAAGTCAAACACACATTGTTGGCCTTGATTATTTTACAATATTGTGCTTGTTGCAGCATGATCGGAGATAAAGACACTGGGTTATGACAGCAAGTGCTTATGGGAAAAATCACTTGAATACATTCACAGCACATTCAACACTTTGCTTTGACAATAATAGACCAGAATTAATACAGATGGCACTGTGTGAAAAAATCAATGTCACTCAACATCACTTTTTTTGCAGTTAGGCATAAAAACACACCAGAAATCATCCGAACAACAGGAAAATATTGTGAAGGGCAAAATCATGGACATTTAAATAGGGTGACCATACGTGCCATTTTCCCAGGACGCGTCCTGGCCAGGATTTCTATGTTGCCTAAAATATCTAGGTTTTGGCTTTGTTTGCGTGTGCAGACCGATCGGTGTATGACATCAAAGTACCATACAGACGGTTATGCTTTCGAAACGCTCTCGAGGTACTTTGATGTCAAACACTGATTGGTATTTCTGAGCCGCACTGCTTTTAAGTCGAACACACCTAATATGTACGCGTAATATTGCATCGCTTTGACCGTAGATCCCACAATGCTTGCATGTTATTGGTCAAACTACTTTTCGATCATTACCTTCAGCAAGCATGAAAACAGGAAAACAAAGCCAAAACAAATCCTGGCCAGGACGCGTCCTGTGAAAATGGCACGTATGGTCACCCTAATTTAAAGCCATTTTAGTTTACAACATGGGACTTCTTTCTAGAAAGAAAATTAGCTTCAGGCACTGAATTTTCAAGTTAATGTCTGGACACTTGTATCTTTTTATTGAAGGCAGTTTGTGTGTGTGTTTCTTGAGGTTTGAAAGAGATAGTCAGGAATTATACTGGGAACTATACTTGGCCTACTATTTTCTCAAGAAAATACAAGCAGTGGTTTTCCAGGCAAAACACGCTTCTACAGTACTAGCATGTTGCTATGTGGTAGCTTTCTAGCTTTTCTCTTTCAGGAGAAAACAATCCCTGTTTTATCATCCACCAGGCAAGAAACTAAACTCTGATCACTTAGAAAAGTAAAAGCACACCTCAATAAACTGATCAATTTGAGGTATCAATAGCGCAAATAGAGTGCGACAAGTCATACTTGTTTTGGCGTCTTCGTAGCTTATTAGCAAACTTAGCGATTCCGTGTTCTGTTGGCAAACACTTATGAAGATGGATATGGCACAGTTTCTTTTGAAGATTGTGAATTTGAACACTTGAAAACTTTGAGATGTTTGCTGAAAGTATATGATATCGTCCTGACGATGCTTCTTTCTTCACATATGGCTAGCGTATTAGCATATAACGCATTTGCTACTTCCTGCATTTGATTACTTGCTTTAGAGTCCTTGACCTACAGGTAAGCAGCTATATCCATGCATTTCCTGCCTACCGGGATCTATTTCCTGTGTTCTGGATCCTATTTCCTGCCTGGTGTATCTTCAATGCTGAAGAGAGGAGACCTAAATACATACACACAGTAATTTAAACTCATAAACACACACAGGCACACACACAGTGCAATCAACCATGACTCTCCTTTCAGCTGGATTTATGAGCTAATCAATGTTCAACCGACCGTTGCACACAACTGCAAGCGTGTGTGTTTTCTGAGAGCATCAGCAATGGCGTGATCATGCTCTCTAGGATAGAGGAGTATGCTTAAGTGATACGTGTAGCACGTGCTTTTAATAAGAGACATCTTGCAGGTGCATGAGAACCATTATTAAGTGCATTCCTGTGTACTAAGGAATCTCAATGCGAGAACTAAAAGGACTGCAAAGTCAAGAGATGTCATGTGACTTAAAGCCAGTTACGTTATTGGGTGTGTGTTTGTGTGTGAAGTAACCAATCATTTTGCTTGTCATATCCATCATAATACACTTGCCCTCCTTTTTGTATTATGATGGATATGACAAGCAAAATGATTGGTTACTTCACACACAAACACACACCCAATAACGTAACTGGCTTTAAGTCACATGACATCTCTTGACTTTGCAGTCCTTTTAGTTCTCGCATTGAGATTCCTTTTCTCTGGGTTTCCATTCTCGTTTGCTCTCCTTCAGAGTCCAGGAGAAACAAAAGGTCAAATGGCATCTTTAGGAAGAAGAGTCCAAAGGTCCTCAAGACAGAGTCTGTCTTTCTCTGTCTCTAATTGTGTCTTTTTAGAAAACAGCGGGTGTTTTTACCTCAGTTCTCTGTTCCATGTTACATTTTACATATTGTGTAAAAAAATTCACTGTACAAAAAAGGAAGAAACAAAAGAAAAAGACAAAAAAGACTTGGAATCCAGTGTGTTCAGAAGTTCTCAGAGAGCTTCGTTTCTCTGATAAAACTCACAGAGCTACACAGAACACAGAAATTCACGTGGTTGAGGCCATGAAACTCATCCAACCAAAGTTTTCTCTCTCTGTCTCTCTCTCTTGTGAAGTCTGAATTCAAGGCTGAGGTAATACTGAGGTGAAGGCCTCAGATCACTCTACAGAGAACAAAGTAATAAAACACAAAAGATCTCCAAGCATACAACAGAAAAATCTCGTGTTTTCTCTTCATACATTCTGGTCAAAATAATGCATCAATGCAACTGGCGTACTGTGAATCTTGCAAAGCGAACCATGAGACGGGGCCCCGCCCACATGTAGTGATGTCACACACACAAGCGTTTATAATGGAAAAAGTGCTGCTGATGGAGACAGAAAGTGTTGTTATTTTGGCTACTGTGGCCCTTTCTGCAATTTGCTTCTGTTTATTCTCCCGTTTAATATGCTGAAATAGATTCAGTTCATCTTTCTATGAATCAGGGGTGTACTACTCAAGTTCGTCTTAAGCCAAGACCATATATTCAGCATTTGTACTCGGGCTTGAATGAGCTGGTCTCGATCAGTCATAGAAAATATGCTCATGGACATGGACTTTAGTCTGAGTCCAGTATTGTAGGACTCAAGTACTATAACACTGCTATGTATGTTATGGAGAAAATGTAAATTTTTATGAGCTACAAGAAGTTAGAAGCAATCAATAATCACTGTGATGTGAAAGGGAGAGGAAGCGATTCAGTAGTACAAGTTCTTTCCAAATCTTTCCTTTCGACCAATTAACCTGTCCAAATATGCTCCTACAACATTTACACTGATGTAAATGGGGTGTCCTGTACGCCGATAATCACAGCACTTTGTTTAGAGTTTGGTATCGACCAGAAAACAACAACCACCGTTGACCACTGAGTCATTACTCCAAGAAACTGTTGGGTTCTTCCTCTTATTTGGAGTTAACAATTGTCCCAAATGAAATGCTGTCGTTATATCAAACTTACAAATCTGCTGAAAGGGTAACCTGCTAAAGAGAGTCAAGGTCTGAACAGATTCAGGGATAGATAGTCTTCAAGATGTCTACCCTTCTTTCCTCCATAGTAAGAATGAGAGCTACAGGGAAAAGCACATCTCTGTCTACATATTTGTGTGATTGTGAGTGATAAATAGAGAGAAGAAAGAGGTGTTTCCAGTAGGAATGGCTGCTCTTCTTGTAGGCAGTGAGGTCCAGTTTTGGCTTTTCCTCATGCAAGCAGTTCCAGACAAATGAGGAAAAGGATGACAAGCAGGTGAGGAAAGAAACAGAGCGAGAGACACAGAGAGCTGCTGTGATTGGCCAGGTTTTGCTCCGCAGTCCACATGAAGTTTCAGCCGCTCACGTTTCTACAATTTCCCACTCCTCGCATCTTGGTTCCTTTCTGTTCACTGGCCTGTTGGTGTCCGATCGCTCCCTCCCTTCCCAAGCAGGTGGCTGAAGTCCGCCAGGTCGATGAGCCCCCGGGACCCATGGAGCATGGAGCGCGTCAGTCCTGCAGGATGCTGCGAGGCCGGGGTGAAGTGGTGGCCCGTTGGAGGTATGCCATGACTGCTGAAGATGTAGCCTTCGTGGGTCCAGCGAAGAGGCTCTCCGCTGTACTCTATCTGGGTGCTGGGTGCTGACACCACTCTCCGCCGGTCAGGGGAGTCTTGGGGTGTCATGGGGTAGTTGTATTCACCTGCCGACTTGCGAAGAAGAGTGCCTGGGCGTATTCCCTCATCCCGGTACTTGGAGAGAGAGACGTAGCGTTGGCGGTCGATACCGGTTTCAATGGCTTCCTCATGGCGTCGACCAGATCCTTGCAGGAGTTTAGAGCTGAGAAACAAGGTGGATGGTGGAGGTGGACACTGGGTTCCCACTGAGCTCAAGAAGGTCTGGCTTTGGTCCCAACTGGATCCGGAATCAGACAGGCGTAGCCCACGTTTCTGCTGCAGGGGAGTTTGCTCGGGTGTGGGAAGCAGACCTGGATCCAAGTCGCCCGCTTTGACCCAACCATTCGGCATTACGAAGAGCGTCTCACCTTGTGAACGTGGTCGGTCCGTGCCGCTGTGCCGGGATACACTCATCACAGAGCCGCTCCTGCTTTGTCCCATCATGCACCGTTCCTTCTCGTTCTTCCGCTGACTACTGGACGAAGGAGTGTTGCTGTGCGCACGGTGGCGGTGTTTTTGACTCATGATCCAGCACACTGCCAGGCCTGATAGCGCTGCACCGGTGGAGAAAGCGGAAACTGCAGCGACAACCAGCAGGTTCAAAGTAACAAGACTTTCGGGCTCGTCCATAAAACTCTCACGTAACAGACCTGCAAAAAGAGAGCAAATATGTTACAATCCAAAAACAACAACGAACTTGGGGCCAGTTTTACTAACAGCTTGTGCCAGCGCAAACCTTCTTTTGGCGTTAAAATATTACTGTCAGGATTTACTAAAGACGCGCAGTGAAGAATTAGAGCTGAAAAGGCGTGGACAGTTATTTTTGCGCATGACCTTATTTAATATGCATGGAGTTTCCCTTTCAGATGCAAAATTTATTTAGGAATAGAGTATTCAAATGACTCACGCAACGTGATTTACTAACATTTGTGCTCGTCAATATTTGGTATTTGCGCCATTATTTAACACCCCAAAAAGCACGTCTTAAACTATATTGCGCTTGAAATGGCTGTAATAGTTGTTGCTAGGGGGAGGCACCACAGAAAACAGAGAGCTCGTGGTAGAAGGGAGAGGATTTTTTTCACACGTATTAATTTATTTGGAATGCCAGAAGAGCACATTATCCGAACATATCATTTGCCAAGCCATGCTATTTTTAATTTGCTTCAGGAAATAAAAGACGACTTGGAACCCTCAACTAGGAGTCACGCAATACCAGGTCTATCAAAAATTCTTGCAACCCTTCATTTTTTTGACCTCCGGTTCTTTTCAACGTACTGTACTGTACTGTACTTATTTCTTTATTCTTTATTTGCGACTACGCTAATTTGCGCTGCGCTTGGTATATTGCGTTGGTCGATACGTAAATGAGATGTTGCGTCTGTGTTATTTAATTTGCATATTGTTAGTAAACCACCCGCAGAAATTTCCACGCCCATAGGTGCTGTTTCAGAATTGTGCCTTGGCGCTAATTTGTCCTGTTTAGTAAAACTGGCCCTTGAAGGCCAAAATGCAGTTTTGGGACTACTAAAAACCACTGTAACATCTACAACTATTGACACGATTAAGCTCAGGAGGAATAATCATTTAAAAACTGACACTTGAATGGCTTACAAAAGCATCAAAGAAGCTCCTCATCACTTATGAAGGGGTGTGCAATTGATCTATTGAGTTTCTGTACATTACAGCCCCAGCAATCGATCAGAAAACAAGAGACTGTTGACTACAGTCGCTCCTAATTTAGTGAACTTGATACAGCGTGTGTTTCAGTAGGCTAAGGCTGTGACCTTCCAGAGATGGAATATGACCTTAGAAACCTTGCACTTAAAAGTCCTGCCTCAAGAACCATGAACATGCAAACGCCACTGTCAATCACTGACCATGGGCAACCTGTGCAATTGAGATTCATACTGGAAATGTGAGTAGATGTAAGAACTAAATGGGTCTAAAGAGATCATTCGATAAATTCAAAGACCGCAGCAGTTTTTGGAGTTGATGACTCATGCTTTTCATACTCTGCTTTCTAATCGTTTCTCCTGGAATTGGCGTTTGTGTAATCCTGGCCTTTCTCTTTCTTTCTTTTAACAGCATTTCTTGTACTCTTTCTTCTGCTGTTCCCTGTGAGATGTCCTTGGTTTTAACTTACTTCTTTTCCTCTATTCTATCTATCTCTATTCTATCTCCTCTCTTGGCTTTCTTCTCACTGACTATCTCTCCTCTAGCGGTTCCGTTTATGTGTGGGCTGTTAGCAGTCTCAGAAATGAGAAGCTGTCAGACTCTGCGTCTACTTCGGTATCCAAACTAGTAAATGTCTTGACAGTAAGAGGACTTTTAAAAGAATAGTTCACCAAAATAGGAAAATTCTGTCATCATTTACTCACCCACACGTCAGTCCGAATGATTTTCCTTCTACTGTAGGCCACAAAAGGAGACAAACTGGTTTGGAATGACACGAAAGGGAATAAATGATCATTTTTGGGTGAACTGTTCATTGTTTGGTCACTCACTCTTTCAGTTTATAAATGAATATTTTGTGCAGCCCTTCAAAGAATACTATGGTGCTGCCATTGTGGTAGTGTCCAGAATTCCTTTTCTGTTTTCTGCCATTAAAACTGTTCTAGTCTCAGCTGGGAATCGCAGCTCTCATTGCATTTGTTCATTGTAACAGCAGGAGTCTGCTGCACACAACACACTCAACAATTGAACCCTTTTCTTAATATTTTGTTTCCTGTGAACATTCCTAAAGACTAAAATACTGCTACAAGATTGCTTGTAATGTGTGTGTGTGTGTGACCATTGATAGATTTCTCATATATCTTTGTATTATTTGTATTTGTAGCATATTTTCAGCTGAAAATTAAGCATTGCCATAACAGGAATAAATTATATTTTAAAATACATTAAAATAGAAAACAATCATTTTAATAATAAGTGAACAAAAATAAAAAATTTGCTTCAGGAAATAAAAGACGACTTGGAACCCTCAACTAGGAGTCACGCAATACCAGGTCTATCAAAAATTCTTGCAACCCTTCATTTTTTTGACCTCCGGTTCTTTTCAACGTACTGTACTGTACTGTACTTATTTCTTTATTCTTTATTTGCGACTACGCTAATTTGCGCTGCGCTTGGTATATTGCGTTGGTCGATACGTAAATGAGATGTTGCGTCTGTGTTATTTAATTTGCATATTGTTAGTAAACCACCCGCAGAAATTTCCACGCCCATAGGTGCTGTTTCAGAATTGTGCCTTGGCGCTAATTTGTCCTGTTTAGTAAAACTGGCCCTTGAAGGCCAAAATGCAGTTTTGGGACTACTAAAAACCACTGTAACATCTACAACTATTGACACGATTAAGCTCAGGAGGAATAATCATTTAAAAACTGACACTTGAATGGCTTACAAAAGCATCAAAGAAGCTCCTCATCACTTATGAAGGGGTGTGCAATTGATCTATTGAGTTTCTGTACATTACAGCCCCAGCAATCGATCAGAAAACAAGAGACTGTTGACTACAGTCGCTCCTAATTTAGTGAACTTGATACAGCGTGTGTTTCAGTAGGCTAAGGCTGTGACCTTCCAGAGATGGAATATGACCTTAGAAACCTTGCACTTAAAAGTCCTGCCTCAAGAACCATGAACATGCAAACGCCACTGTCAATCACTGACCATGGGCAACCTGTGCAATTGAGATTCATACTGGAAATGTGAGTAGATGTAAGAACTAAATGGGTCTAAAGAGATCATTCGATAAATTCAAAGACCGCAGCAGTTTTTGGAGTTGATGACTCATGCTTTTCATACTCTGCTTTCTAATCGTTTCTCCTGGAATTGGCGTTTGTGTAATCCTGGCCTTTCTCTTTCTTTCTTTTAACAGCATTTCTTGTACTCTTTCTTCTGCTGTTCCCTGTGAGATGTCCTTGGTTTTAACTTACTTCTTTTCCTCTATTCTATCTATCTCTATTCTATCTCCTCTCTTGGCTTTCTTCTCACTGACTATCTCTCCTCTAGCGGTTCCGTTTATGTGTGGGCTGTTAGCAGTCTCAGAAATGAGAAGCTGTCAGACTCTGCGTCTACTTCGGTATCCAAACTAGTAAATGTCTTGACAGTAAGAGGACTTTTAAAAGAATAGTTCACCAAAATAGGAAAATTCTGTCATCATTTACTCACCCACACGTCAGTCCGAATGATTTTCCTTCTACTGTAGGCCACAAAAGGAGACAAACTGGTTTGGAATGACACGAAAGGGAATAAATGATCATTTTTGGGTGAACTGTTCATTGTTTGGTCACTCACTCTTTCAGTTTATAAATGAATATTTTGTGCAGCCCTTCAAAGAATACTATGGTGCTGCCATTGTGGTAGTGTCCAGAATTCCTTTTCTGTTTTCTGCCATTAAAACTGTTCTAGTCTCAGCTGGGAATCGCAGCTCTCATTGCATTTGTTCATTGTAACAGCAGGAGTCTGCTGCACACAACACACTCAACAATTGAACCCTTTTCTTAATATTTTGTTTCCTGTGAACATTCCTAAAGACTAAAATACTGCTACAAGATTGCTTGTAATGTGTGTGTGTGTGTGACCATTGATAGATTTCTCATATATCTTTGTATTATTTGTATTTGTAGCATATTTTCAGCTGAAAATTAAGCATTGCCATAACAGGAATAAATTATATTTTAAAATACATTAAAATAGAAAACAATCATTTTAATAATAAGTGAACAAAAATAAAATAAAAACTACAATAATATTTCATAATACCACTGTTTTACTGTATTTTTTATCAAATAAATACAGTCTTGGTGAGCATAAGATACCTCTTTCAACTGTACTGTAAATTGTTAAAGCAAAATGTTAAATGTTAAAGCAAATTAGTATACGTATTTATGCAATACTGACAAGACAAAGAGAAAACAACTTGGCTTGGCTGGATAACTTTAATAGCTTTAAAACGTCATCTAAAATGAACATTAACATGACTACATGGCTAATTTTAATGTACTTGCCTGCTTCTGTCAAACTAAAGCAGCATCAAACAGAGTGATTTCAAACAAGCTCTGAACAAACTCGTTTTTTTCTCTCTCTCTTGGTTCTGATCTTTTTTTGGCATTCAGTGTTTCACTCGTCTCAGGCTCTTTAAAATATGACTGAACTTCTGTGTGATGGATGGAGTGAGCGAGGACAGAAGAAGACAAGCGTTTGATGTAGATGAGAGGACGGCTGACCGGCGAGTTTAATGAGCCTGTGACTCTGCTTCATATATCCCAAAACCAAATCATATTAGACTGGCCAGACGGTGGCCATTTTACAGACGCATTTCTATGGGCTCATTATATTATGAATGTGCCTACATTTCTTTTCAAGGATCCTTTTAATTAGTTCCCATTTGCCTCTTGACGTTAGGGTTCATTTTGTTCTCCATGTTAATTCCATCCCTCCCTTTCCTCTGTCTGTAAATACATCCTTCAGCCTCCAGCTTTATGCTGAATGTTAAAGTGAGTAAACACACTCTCACTGTACAGTATACAAGGTTTTTCTGAGGTTTAGAAATCTCTCTGGCTATATTCATACAACCATATTTAACATAACATTGTGACAAGTGTATTGCACATATAACAGCAAACATGAGAGGGTTGAGTACTGTGTATGACCACAGTCAATTCTCTTTGATAATTCACAATAGCCTTGACTTGTTCCTGCTGCAAAGACCAACATTTCCGGCTGGTTTATGCTGGCTAATACTAGTTTAGTGCTGGTCTCCTGGACTTTGCTGGGTAAGGTGGTTAAGGTCAACTATAATAAATTCTGTTAGTAAATAAAAATATTAGATGAACTATTAGAACAATTAGAAATGTTTCTTTGGCAACAAGCTGAACACTAAAATTAATACAATTTAAACTGGGGAAAAAAACAGAAAAATTAAGGCTAAAGAGAAATACAAAAAAATATTACTACTAATAAAAATAACAAAAGTACATAACTAAATTATTAAAAAAAATAAAAATGAGAGCTAAAAATATACTAATAGAAGCTAATTCAAAAATATTAATAAATGCCATAATACTATACTGTATAAATAATACTAATACTAAACACTGTACACAAGCACACCAGCCTGACCACCACACCACTGTAATCTCTTTTAGCAATTTTAATTACCTAAAATATAATATTAAACTAGTATAGCCCATTTTAAAAGACCATTTAAAAATGTTCCATTTCAGTATATTTTAAATTGAATATTTATACTTTTTACAAAATCCACAATTTAATAATGACAATTTCTGTCCAAATATTACTTCTAGAAACTATGCTGTTTCATACTATAAATTGTTTTGTTTACTTAAATTAAAATCTAATATTAATTTAAATTAGATTTAAAATTAAAATCCCCCCTTAATAATCTTTTATTGAAGGACATTCGGTTCATGAAACTTCAGAAATCAAAAAATGAATCACAGGTAATTAGTTTAATATACCAATGTCATGTCAATAAAATATTTTAACGTTATCAAAAAAGAAAACAAGCAGCGTTGTCATAATTACAGCAGAAATACCAGTCAATTTTGGAAATACCTTTTGGACAATGGGGGGCCTTTGAGTCAAAAAGTTTGCGAACCACTGTTTTAACCCTCTATAGGAGTAATTATGAATTTACAGCGTAAAAAAATATTGACTTTATATTTTACATATATTTAGGAGTAAAATCATTTTCCAAAATTTGTTTTCTTCATCTGACCTTTGACCTTTTTTTTAGGGATCCGTCATTTATAACTGACTTTGTCCCATTAGGGTAAATTATTTTTGGCAAATTGTCTGAAACGTCACACACAATCAAATGCTTTTTCACTATCTGAAAAGAAGCGAAAATGTCTTACTGTTTCAAAAAAAACATTAAAAATCTTTATGAACATTCAATTTTTTTTCTTGTGCTGCTATATTTGATTTGGAACTCGCGTGTGAAAATGTCTAAAACTTGACACAAATTCGGATGCAATTTCACTGCCTGAAAACCATGTCTTAGTGTTTCAAAAGCATTAAAACTACTTTAACATTGTGTTTCAACTTGGAATTTCAAATCAATTATCGTAGCACAAGTGAAAGTCAACAAGACTCTTCTTTTTTTAGTGTACCCCACACAATAAGGGGATGTCATTTGACATCACTAAAATAAAATTTTGTTGGTTGAACATTAATATTGTATTTTAAATGCAATTTTCTAAGCGTCATTTATAAATGACGATATCCCATAGAGGGTTAAACTCTACAGTTCTATTCATACAGCACATATCAACCTGAATGTGCTCAAAAAATTCAGTTGTGTCTCCTAAAAACTTCAGGAAGTCACCTAGAATGCGACCATCATTCTTTTCCTGAATCAAGATTAGCAATCCAAATAAGACACCCGAATTCTGCTGCAGTTCTCCATTTTTATCCTGAAACTATCACACAGAAACAGATTCCTTGAAAGTACACACTTACTAAGCCATTGAACTTTAATCTATTTCATTCTGTGCGCTTTCTCGCTCTCTCTTCTGTGTGACTCAGCTGAATCTATATGGCTGCAGTGATATATAGCTAGTATCTGTGGCAGTCTGTTATGTCAAGAGCTCCTCAAGAAGAGACTTGAGAACCTCACTGCTGTTCCACATTCTGCTAAATCTAAACTTTGGAACAAATTTAAGCGTTTTGAGCCATGGAGAGATCGACAGAGAGTGTTTTATATGCTGCCAGATTTGCAAAATGCCATTAAGAGCGGAAAGCGAATCTAAGCTTCTCATTGTTTGACAATATAAACCATCTTTTGTCTTTTTAACAATGTAAACACTGTCGCTAACTCGCACCCAGACACCTCGTACTTTAAAGAAATCAATTAATTTCTAAAAAGAAAAGACTCAAGGCTCTGTTTCTCTCTCATTATCTTTCTCCATCTCTTCCGATGCAACCTGTGACTTTCTCGTGACTTTGTCTGCTTGAGCAAAACTTTGGAACCAGACCAGACTGGATCTTTTCTGTATTGTTGAAGAGTTGCTAGAGGATTCTCTCGAGGAAGGAGAGACGCGCTGAAGGTAGAGTGGGAAGCTAAAGGTCACATCCCAAACAGGTTCACAAACTCACCGTCGCAGTCTCCGAGATGTGAGGTGTTTCCATATTCAACGTCCTGCACGAAAGGTAATCTGCAAACCAGGAGAAAAACGGATTTGAACATTAACCGCAAATTCACAGATTAGATACACGGCACACATTCTATGCAAGTACGTGAATGCATGCACTTCTAGTTATGCAAACTCAATTTCATGCGTCACTGCATTTAGAAATGTGTCCGAACACAATTCAAAACACATTCGACTGCTGTTTTTGTTTTCAGGTCAATAGCTGATATGAAGAGAAATTTTACTGAGCAAGTTAGTTAAACTGTCATGTTTACCAAGATACGTGAATAATAATACATCTGGTTTAAAGGTGAACAGTATATATTTTTTATATTAAAGTTTTAAGAATATGGAAATATGCAAACACTGTAGAACTACCAAAACATTCCCATCCAACATGTTCTAATTGGAACATTTGTTTTCCAATTAAGTCATGAAAACATTGTATGAATGTCCTCTGAATGTTATTTCTGAATGTTATCTGAACATTCAAAAGTCCAGTTTTTAAAAATGTTTACAAATATATATTTTAAATGTTTTTCTTGGCTAAGGGAAAATTCCATTTGATCAGTTTACAAACATTATGGGTATGTTAATTTCAAAGCAGTAACATTTAAAAATGTAGATGAACTAAAACATTTCAGAAAAAAAATGTATAAGTATGTATGATATACAAGTAAAGTTTTTGTGATAACATTTTGAGACTATTATTATTAAAGATCACATAACTTTGAATGAATGTTACTGGAAGAACATTTGTTCAAAACGTTAATAGAACCTTGCCAGAATGTAGCCAAATTACAGTTATTTGGGTTAACACATCAGCATTGGCTCAAGCAATGGCATGAGTGTGAGGGCGGGATTATATGTTTGACTGGCCAATGACAGATGTGCAGAGTGTTTTGGAAACCTGTGTAAAAACATTTACATCTGGTGACAGTAGTGGCTCAGAAATTGCACGCCTTTAATTGCATAATAATTTGAGGGTAACTCTATCGCCCCCTTGAGTTGAGGATTAGAGGCATGTCAAACACAACAGGGCAGCATGCATGCAACAGCAAACATTTATATTTGTGTAAAGTATGGTTCTGGTTTTCTATCTAACCTGGTGCCAGGCCTCAGGAGTGAGCAGGTACTTCCTCTGGTCCAGCCGCAGTATGGATCTCTGGACGCAATGCAGTTTCTACACACACACACACACACACACACAATGTTTGTCAATGTTATTACAGAGGACAATGCTGACCTCCTCTATAACGAATACAGGAAACAAAACTAGAGAACAGAAATTATGATTTATAGAGACTGAAACAGAGAGAGAGACAGACATGACTCAGACATTCAGCTGCAGTCTCATATTTTTTCATATCTGTCTCTCCAGCTATTCAAGGTCACTTCTCTAAAAACATAAAATTATATATATATGTATTGTATATATTGTATATATATATGTATTGTATATATAAATGTATTGTAATGTAATGTATTTTTCATAGGAATACCAAAATAACACATAAAATAAATAGTAAATTAAATTGAATTTTTACCTAAATTTGGCATGTATTCAAATTGAAATATAATGCTTTTACTGCTTATAAAATTTTAAAGTGGGCAGATTCCAAACAGCAATAAATAGAATTAACTTTAATCAAGTTTTTAATAGCCTTATACATAATTACCATTTCACAATTACAATTTGCCATTTAAATTTATATTATTTAAAACAATGCATTTACGTTAAGTACTGTATTCTTTCTTTAGCATCTATGTGAGCTTGTGCATGGAGGAAAAGGAGGTTTTAAAGTTGTGTACAGCGTAAAAAATCAAGCGTAGTGTTAGTTCTGGCAGGTCACGTTAGTCAAGCTCGCATCAGCTGACTCTCAGCTGATCCCCATCAACCTATGGGAATACGACGCCTATCTAAGTATTCATATATAAGGTCCCTCAGTATTATCAGCAGTTTTCGCATTGCTCAATAGCTAATTACCCTCCTCCATCCCCAACTCCTCCTCTGTCAGTCAGGATTCAGCCTTCTGATTCTCCTTCGAATCAGACTAATTCTAAAATGTGTACATAACATTATTGAACTTTAACAATATCTGCAATACATTTATGTTGGTTCTGTTCTGTTTACCCTGGGGGGTTATTGCTGCTCTCCCTGCTCTCATCCATGCTAGGCTGCATGGATGCGCAGGGAGTTCTTGCCCAGAACAGAACCATACCGCCAATCCAAACTGTATGCTAACTGTCAATCATATTTGACGATAGTGGTCCTGACAGAAATTATTTTTTTTGAAGCTGCAAATAAAAAAAGATTATTTGAGAATATTTTACAAGAAAATACTTCAGTCTTTCTACTTCAAATTTTCATGTTAAATTCAATGTGTTACTTGTGGTTTCTCTGTACTGTAATTATTTGTAGAATTTAATCCATTTTTTCCAGTGTAGCAATTTCTGAGCGAACAAGTAAATCCTGCACATTGTTTCCATGAGCGTACCATCCATAGCAACACGGGCTGCTGGTGCAAGAGTCATTTGAGCGGCACATGGTGCTGCAGATGTACAAAGTGGATTGGAGAGACTTGAACTGGTGCAGATGGTACTGTACCGCATCCCGCAAGACGAGAGAGAACGTCAGCAGACTCAATCAAAGCCTCTTCCATTAATCACGGCTGAATTACACCAGAACTTTACTGCTTCACAGGAAGAGACCGTTCCAAATGTGCCATACGGGAGAAGGGCCAGAAGGAGTGTGTGTGTGTGTGTGTGTGCATCTGAAGGAAATTGTAAAAGCTGGGTCACAGTAATTTCAAAGCCGCTGATGAAGCAGTGTGTGTTTGGGTGGCACAATTTACTTTAAGATGGAAAACGAGAGCGTGTGTGAATGAGAGTGTATTTAATCAGTGTACAGACTGAAGGTGTGTGTGTGTTCTTACTTCATGCATCTGGAGTGCAGTTGGCAGCGTGCGACAGGCACTCGCACCACGCAGGAGTGGAAGGCCAGCAGGAGTGTGTGACTGGGTTTGTCCAGGGTCAGAGAGAGAGGCTGCCTCGCCTGCACAGAGTCATCACCGCACCTACACACACACACACACACACACATTGAAGTCATCAGTTCAAGCCCTCGTGCACTTTTACAACCAAACATTTCCTAGAACATGGATACACACACTCATTAAAACCCAACAGCTTCACATCAGCGTCTCCATGAGTCATGAACACATGAACATACAGTGTCACCACCTGCACTCAGCAGCGGGGCGGAGACATTCTACCTCATTTCACATGCGAAGAGGTTAGCCAATCACTACATAGGTTATTTATGTATAGAACATGCATTATATGTCATTTACATAGTCTTAAAGGTACAGTAGCAAAATGGTGTCAAAGAGAGTGTAAACCTAAAGAGATTTTCCAAAAGACTAACAGGACGGAAAGTGAAACAAAATTATAGAATTAAAACAATATTCCCAAGAAAAGGAAGGAGGGATTTATTTTTTTTTAATAAATTTTAAACATCCACTCAAACCAAAGTAGTGAATTATTCAAAATTCACCCTTTTATACTTAATAGTGATATTGTGATGAGGAAAGTTAACCAATATGATTTCCATTTTAAAAATGTATAAAATAGTATATAATTAAAAAATTTAGATTTAGATTATTTTAACTATTTTGTATATAATTTTACTAGATTATGTTCAGGTAGTTTTTTTTATGAATGAATGAATGAAAGTAGTCTTTTATGCTCACATACGCTGCATTTATTTGTTGAAAAATACAGTAAAAACAGCAATATTGTGATATATTATTACAATTTACAGTAAAATATCTATATCTGAATACATTTAAAACAAATTTATTTATTCCTGTGATTCAAAGCTGTATTTTCAGCATCATTATTCCAGTCTTCAGTGTCACATAATCCTTCAGAAACCATTCTAATATGCTGATTTGCTGCTCAAGAAACATTTATTTATGATTTGATTATTATCAGTGTTGATAATGTTTGATGATCAGAACAGCATTTCTTTGAAACAGAATTTTTGCGAAACAATGTAAATGTCTTTGCTGTCACTTTAAATCAGTTTAATGTAAATAATTGCTGAATAAAAGTATAATAAATAATAAAACATAAATAAATAGTGAACAGCTAATTTACGGACTAAGACTGCACTACCTATTCAATTTCTGACTTGTAATTTAGTAAATTCCACTTCCTGTCATTTAACTTTAACTTCCTGTGGGGTGTTGCCAACTTTCCAACTTGTGAACAATTTCTTAAATTCTGAATTTCGTCCAGCCTTGTTCTTGATCCAATTTCCTCACTCTTTCTCTTCGGTAATCTCCTTTTCTCTTTCTACTGTCTGTGGCTATAAAAAAGTGGCAAACAGCCCAAAAAATACACACTAAAAGAGATTCAGTCAGAGTTTGGCATGTTTCCAACACACATTAACTGTCAAGCTGCTAATAAGGCATTAAATTACCGCAACATCTCTATGACAACACCGGTGTCTCAGAGAAACTCCCCAACAGTAGCTCTACAGATATCAGGCATGTAATCTAAACACTGATAAATAGCTGGAAGACAAATGAGACATATTACAGGAAGTTGTGTGAGAGTTTTGGATGGCATCCAGAGAACACCTGAGGCAAGACAGAAGGTCAAGCAGACACAGTGATCTCCTTGTTTCAGGTGTGTGTGTGTGTTTCTCAGCGAGTGCCGTGTCCTGCTGAGAACCTTATCTCAACCGCCACACAACTCGCCTTCATCTCCCAGCATGCATCTCTCTGAACCTAATCGTTCTTCCTCCAGACAGGTATTGCCTTTCATCTTCAAAACCCCAGCCATGTTTTCATCCATCAGAGCGCCCCACGCTCATTCACACACACACACACACACACACACACACACACACACACACACACACACACACACACAGCACATATAGAC